ACCGTTACTGATCAATGATTATCCTTTAAATAATTTCTGCAAGATATTCCTACTTACATATTTACATTTATACATACATTTACAATCATTTCTCATCTTCAATCACCTTTCTTCAATCTCATAGTTTACCAAAAAGGTGTTTCTGTACATCCTTTTAAACTGAATTATATTTGTGCTTTTGAAGATAAGGATGATAGTTTTCATACATACTAATAAAATGTACAATATATAAACAGAATAACAAAATGCAGCATAATCATCACTATAAACGTGGATAACACCAAATCATCTTTTCCAAAAAAGTCATACTATAGTGTCTAATGCTGAGTGGACTCAGTGCAAAGGGACTAAGTCTTCTGAAAAACTCAAATGAATGAATTCACTGCTAAAGGGAACTCACAGTTTCGTAGAAGACACACTGCACCACCGCCTTCCCGTCTCTCATGAGGAAGTTCTTGGATCCGTGGCGACCCAGTGTGACCGCAGAGTCGAGAGTAGCTGAGGGAGGAGAGCACAGCCTGTCAGATGAAATGTGTTTAGAAATACTTAATAGTCACATCAGATACAACTGCCAATTCTGATTCAACTGACCAAATATCTCAAATAAGTACGGGACTTTGTCTTTAAACTGGCTCCAGTGTCTCATGCCATTAATGACTGAAGTCAGGATCCTCAGTGAGGTCTCGAAGGCCGGCTTCTGTGCAAATTTCTCCTGCTGAGAACAAAATCAAATGCTGCAGTGATCAGGACAATATTATGGAACATAACTGGCACATTTTAAGTTATTTAAAATGATCAGTTATACACTTTGCAGATATTTATTCTACCTGGTTGTGAGTTTGTCGTGCAGCCTGAGATTTAATTGTGCTGCTGTTTCCCTCAAAGGGAAGTCTCTGCGGGCCGAAGCTGTTGGTAAAGTTCCAGGATTTGTTTTGTGGCTGCACTGCAAGGGGAGCAGAGGGCCTGCTGGGGGGGGGCACAGGAGCAGCCAGAGGTCTGGGCTGCATGGGATACTGATTGTTAAGAGTGAGCTGTCTGTAGGATGACTGCTGAGCCATCGGAGAGAACCCAGAATGGGGTGTTGGCTTCATTGGTGCACTCTCGCTGAAGTGGGGATCTTTAAATTTGCTCTGTGTGGAGTTAACACCAGGGCTGAACTCCTGCGGTCGCCCTGGGTTGCTGGGCTGTCCCACCTGAGAGCTGGAAATGTGAATACATAAATAAATGTTGACTTATCGGGATAGAAAAAAAACAAGCACACACCAAACACAAGTCACAATCAACGTTTGAAATGGCAACATTTTAGTTAATTCATCTGCGGTTTTAAACATTTTCCATGCTAGCCAGGTACATTATTATTGGTTGTGAGCAAATCAATTTACAGTCATATTGCGGCTCATAGTGACAGCTTATGTATTGCCTGTGTCAGTAGTGGTCGTGACCATATTTATGTCCCATGCAAAACTGTATCTCATGTGTCTGAATGGTTAACTGATTATACTAACGGTCGCCAAATAAAAAAAAAAAGTACCTTGTGCCTCCAACTTTGTATGGATGAGCTATGGGTTTAAAGGCTCTGATTGTAGGAGAAGGGCCCGGAGCAGGTCTGTTGCTGACGTACTGCGGGGGTGGAGCAGATTGTGGGACGTCCTGCCTTTTCCACTGGGTGCTTTGTGCAGCACTAGAGGCCGGACCTGAGGCCTGGTAACATCCAAATGTACCTGAGGGAAAAAATACATTCTCAGAGGGAAATCTTATAGCATCCTCTGCCACCTGCAGCTCTGAATCTTAATTAACGGGAGATGTTTTACAATATTGTCTTATATTTAACATAAAATTGACTTAATGGTGTGATTAAACAGTAGATGGGGATTTTGAGCAGTCAGGCATTAAACAACACACAAAGCCAGGCAATAATTACTTTTTTTAATGTATTTTTCTTTGGATATACTGCCACCTGGTGAGTGACTGAAATACAGTGCAAGCTTAAAGAGGTGAATGCTTCACCTGAAGAACTGTGAGGTGCAGCTGAGCTGCTGCTTGCATTGTATTCACTGTGGGAGAAGAATTCATTCTCAGAGGGAGCAGAGGTCAGAGGAACTCTGCTTCTCTTCTTCTGGTTGAACAGCGGCACAGACATGCAGCCTGATGGACACAGCAGAGGAAACATATCAGCATATCAGACTGACTGCAATGTTAATATTTATAATGTTAGGATTAAAACCAATCAACATTTCCTTATATATAACAATAAGCGTACTTATCATCTCGACTCAATATTTTGTATTGAGTTATTTGTATTCAGTATTGGAAGAAATACTCAGATCCTTTACTTGAGTAAAAGTACAAATAATATGGTCTTAAAGTACTCAATTATATGAAAAAGTCCTGATTTCAAAATGTTACTTAAGTAAAAGGTACAAAAGTACTAGCATCAAAATACACTATATAAATATAATGCAAAATAAAATAAATAATACAAATAATAAAATAAATTACAGAAGTATTATCAGCTAAGTTTACTTCAAGTATAAAAAGTAAAGTACTTGTTGCACAGTTGATATTTTCACCTTATTATATTATTAAGTGTATTATATAATGCTGTTTTTATACATGTAAGAGCCTTCAGTTGTAGCTTGTCAATGTGGAACAAAGGAAGATACATGAAATACTGTGTAGATTAGTAGTACAGTACTGCATTATACTATAAGCATATCCTGTGTTTTTTATGTAAAAAATAACTGTGAGTGTTACAATTGTAGTGGAGGAAAAAGTACAACATTTGCCTCTGAAATGTATTGTAGTAAAATAATAAAGTAGCATTAAATAGAAAAATTAAAGTAAAGTACAAATATGTCAAACGATTACTTAAGTACAACACATTGAGTAAATGTACTTAGTTACTTTAGACCACTCTTCGTATTTACGTTATATCACAGGACTATGAATAGGAGATGAATAGTGAGGGGTTGTAAAGTATCTATTTAACTAACCTGCTGTTTGCCTGGGCTGCTGGTTCTCCTGTCTCCTCATTGTGGTGGCTGGAGACAAATAGCTCATCTAGTTAACCTGAGATGGGGGTATTACCTGAGGTACACGAGGAGACGCAGGTCGTTTTTTACTCTATAGACTGTGTATAATATATAAAGTATAATACAATAAAACTGATGTCCTGGTTTATATTGGTCCCCCACTTGGTTCTTCACAAGTTAACAAGTGCTGGGATAACTCAGTTGGAAAGACTTGACAATTTAAGCCAGTTTATATTCGGTTGCTTTGTCAGTTTAGCAACAACTGTACAGCTTTTTAGCTAGCTTAGCTTTATGATAGTTAGCTGACACGCTAATGTTATCTTATTCTCTAAACAACTCGTCTAGTAGCCTAGCATACAACTAAAGTTTTAACTGTCTTTCAATTGTACATCCCCAAATTATCTAGTAAATCCATTGCTAAATATTGCAAAATAAGAAAAGTTGCTACCTCATCGACAAAGTTCAGCACCCTGGAAAACGACCCGCGCCAAAACAGGTGTTGCCTTCACGTTCCACAAGAAAAGTTGGATCTCCTCTTTAGAACCGCAGTGACGCGTCGTAAAACCCGGAAGTAAACTTCTTCCGGTTCCTTCTTGAAAAACCAATGCAAATTCTCCATAGGATTTTGGAAAATAGCTCGAAATAAGTTCTGTGGTTGACACACATTTAAGAGAGGGATCACGTTTTGTTCAGCCGGATAATCTCCACATGTCAACTCTACTTTTATAATTTCTGAATCATAAATCTAGTCGCCAAAAAGCGAAATGCTAAACGTTATGCTATAAACGAACTACAACCCAGTACAGCAGCAGGGTCGCACGACTTTAACGTCACGCCAATTTAAGATCGTTTCAACTGACTTGCACTGAAACTGCACTTTGAACACTTTAAATTAAATATATTAACATTTTAAACTGTATACCCCGGTTATCTAGGCCCTTTTTGTTTTGTTTAATGTATACCACGTTTATCTAGGCCCTTTTTGTTTTGTTTTATGTATACATGTCACACTGTGGGAAACGATATTTCTGGATGTATAACACATGTAGAATTTTTGACAATAAAGCT